AATTCAAAGAGTTCTGAATCGAAATGTGGGAAAGTGAAAAGGGGGGGAGTTTTTATGGGGGTAAACAGACAATGCGTGATGTTTCATATTCAAGGACAGTCAACCGGTGGCTGACACGCGTCCAAAGTCAGAACGACACACCTGATGGGACGTTTTCACTTACCTAACAACTCTTTCGTGACGTACAAAGGAAGGAACCGGAGGTCATTTATTGCTTCCATTGTTTCAATAAATCTACTCTCCGAAAAACAAGGGGACTATCTGTGTGCTAGTAAAATCGGAGCTAAAGTCTACCCCGATCCCCCGATGAGAGGACGGAAGAGGAGCATGGAACAGGGAGGTTTGCAGTCGAGGTCAAAGGCCTATCGTATCAAGAGCCCGAAAGGGTGAACGATATATCCGACATCGGACATGGTAAAGCGATGCGCCCGAGATGAGTGTGAGTTCTAGACTTCGGGAGACATGGTGAACGGTTATGCATGATGGATAGAGGGTCGTGATAGCCTCCCTTAATCGGATATCACGGCGTGAATCTCGCTCGATGTCGATTACAGATCAACTATTATCGGGAAAAGAAGATTTTTATCTTTTTAGACTCATATTAGGGCTGAAACTCTCCTAATATATAAATGAGAATTTTTTTCTTGTATCTGAGACATTGTAACACGTATTCCAAGGGAACAAAAGATTTTTTTTATTCTCTAAAGCTATTGTTAACAGTTTACTCACTAGTTCTGTTCTTTATTCACGAACGTGCCTAAATCGAGGGCACAATCGAGGACGAGCTCATCATTCAATCCAAGATCAGTCATGTCCTTAACATTGCGAGTGGTTTCATCGTTTATTTCATCTTTAATCCGTTTATCTATCATTATTAACTATTTGTGTTAAATTAAATTATGTACCCTTTAAATCGCGTATAAATTTAATTGTTATCCTATTTTGGGGTAAACAATTCCTATTCGGAATTAGAATTAGTTTTTATTCCTATTTAGAGTTGATTTTGGCTTTAAGAGAAAGCACTACTTATTATCTATAAATTGGACAACCTTGGAGAATTGTTCTATACTCATTGATATAATTCTTTGAAAGACTTTAGCACATGAAAGTGGTTTTTATGAGAGCTTTCATCAAGAGAGAAGAGATAAGAAAAAATGTTTGTTTTACTGTAGATTTTATTCCGACTAGACAACCACAAATCCCATTTCTTGATTCGTTAACCGTTGGATCGGGATAAAAGTTTGAGTAAGTATTTATAACATCTTGATCTTTGATTTGAACGGTGAAGATTGGATTTGGGTGCATGTAGCATCAGATGTCGAGCCCCGAACAACAGCCCTATTTTTGTGATTTCTCCATTTTTTTCAATTGATTTGTTGTTGCTCTTGTTGCTATTGTTGCTCCGTGTTTGCACTCATTGTGTATCCAATTTGGAGAACTTTTGTAACCCTCTTATTATTATAATGGAGCTTTTTGGATCTTTGTGATCATGTGGTTTATACCTTCGATTTGAAGGGTTTTCCACGTTAAAAATTTGGTGTTCTTTATCTTTTTTATTTTCGGATTTGCCTCTTCCTCAACAAAACAGTGGTATCAGATCCTTGGTTATTTATCCAGGATTTTTTGGAATGGAGGCGAATATGAGCAGGATGGTATGTTTAAATGGGAGCAATTATAATATTTGGAGAAGCAAGATGAAAGATTTATTGTTCGTAAAGAAGATGCATCTACCCGTTTTTGCAATTCATATAGCCGAGAGTATATCTGATGAAGATTGGGATTTTGAGCACCAGCAAGTATGTGGATATATATGACAATGGGTTGAAGATAATGTTTGTAACCATATTGTTAATGAGATACATGCGAGATCGTAATGGGAAAAGATAGAGACTTTTTATGCTTCAAAAACTGGGAATAACAAGTTGTTCCTGCTAAAGAAATTGATGAACTTTAAATACAAGGAGTGCAACACTATCCTTGATCAGATAAATGATTTTCAATGCGTCCTTGATCAGCTATCTGGAATGTGAGTTAATTTTGATAATGAGATACAAGGATTTTGGCTTCTTATTACTCTGCCAGACTCTTGGGAAACTCTTCGTGTTTCTTTGACAAATTTAGCTCCTGGAGGTAAGGTAACCATGAAATATGCCAAGAGTGGTGTGTTGAACGAGGAAGTAAGGAAAAAATCTCAGGGTTCATCCTCACAAGAAGATATCTTGGTTACAGAAGACCGTAGGAGAGAAAGAACAAAAGGTTCGAGGAATAGAGGTAAAAGTAGAAGTAAGTCAAGGTCCAAATACCATAATATTACGTGCAACCACTGTGGCAAGAGAGGGCATATCAAAATGTTCTACCACAAGTTGAAGCAAGACATTAGACAAGTGTAAAGCTTGTGTACATGTTCCTAAAGATGAGAGATCGAAAGTGGATGTCAAAACTAATTAGTGCATCTTTATCGGTTATGGTCAAGATGAGTTTGGGTATTGTTTTTATGATCCAGTTGACAATAAACTTATTAAAAGTCGTGATGTAATATTCTTTGAAGACCAGACTATTGAAGATATTGACAAAGCTAAGAAGATAGATTTTTAGAGTAGTGAGAGCTTAGTAGATATTGATCCAGTTTCTATTGCCAAGGAACCTATTACACATGAAGGAACCCAAGACAATAATGAAGATAGTGATCAAGATCAAAATGATCATCATGGTGTAGATGTTATGGATGCTCCAGTTGATGAAGTTGTGGTTGATCAACAACCAATTCCTGCTCAGGTAACTACTTCGAATGCTCTTGAAACCTCTCTTAGAAGATCTACAAAGGAGAAGCAAAAATTCATGCATTATCCTCCTGATGAGTATATACTTTTAGTTGACATGGGAGAACCCGAGAGTTATGATGAAGCCATGCAAGATACTCACAAATATCAGTGGATAGAAGCCATGGAAGATGAGATGAAGTCACTCTATGAGAATGGCATATATGAGTTAGTGAAATTATCGAAAGGTAAGAGAGTTTTATAAAACAAATGGATATTAGAGGTAAACCACGATCAACATACCTCTGCTCCTAGGTACAAGGCGAGGTTAGTTGTTAAAGGTTTTGGCCAGAAGAAGGGAGTTGACTTTGATAAAATTTTCTCCCATATTATGAGAATGTCTTCTATTCGTGTGGTTCTAGGCTTAGCCGCGAGTCTAGATTTAGAGGTTGAGCAGATGGATGTAAAAGACTTCTTTTCTTCATAGTGATTTAGACGAGGAGATTTATATGGAGCAGCCTGAGGATTTCATAGTTAAGCTTGCAGATAAGCATGTGTTTTGCAGAAAATTGGCATGCAAGAAGCCTCGCAATAGTTTCTCAACTTGAAGACCCATTTGGCCAATTAGATGGAGGGACAACTTTTTGGGCACATGTCCGTGTTATCCAGCCAAAGGCCCAATGACCTAATTCTATTCTTTTTTGGTTTTCATTCCTATTTGGAATTAGATTTTGTTTTTATTCCTATTTAGAGTTGGTTTTAGCTTTAAGAAAATGCACTACTCATTATCTATAAATAGGACAACCTTGGAGAATTGTTCTATGCTCATTGATATAAGTCTTTGAAAGACTTTAGCACATAAGAGTGATTTCTGTGAGAGCTTTCATCAAGAGAGAAAAGAGAAGAAAAAGTGTTTGTTTTGATGTAGATTTTATTCCGACCAGCCAACTTCAAATCTGTTTTCTGATTTGTTAACCGTTGTGTCGGGCTGAAATTTGGGCTGAGTATTTTTAATATCTTGATATGTAATTTGAATGGTGGAGATTGGATTTAGAGGTCCGTAGCATCAGATTTCAAGCCCCGAACAGCATCTCTATTTTTGTGATTTCTCTTGATCTTTCTTCAATTGAATTGTTGTTGCTATTGTTGCTATATGTTTGACACTTGTTGTGTATCCAATTTGAAAAACTTTTGTAACCCTCTTATTGTTATAGTGAAGCTTTTTAGATCTTTGTGATTCCGTAATTTTTTTATCCAATTTGGTGTTCTTTATCTTCTCTATTTTCGAGTTTGCCTCTTCCTCGACATAATAGTGGTCCCTTTGTTTCAATGAATAAATTTTCAAAGTCATAGAGAAAATTAGATACTTAAATCAAGGATCTATCAGAAACAATTTCTTTATCTCTACAAGGTAGGGGTAAAGTTTGCGTACGCATTACCCTTTTCAGATCCCACACTATGCGAATACACTTGATATGTCGTTGTTGTTATTGTTGTTGGTATAGAGAATGTCAGATACTCATATGCAACCATTGTCCTGAAGTAAAAAAAATAACTTTAGTTTACGAAATTCAAACATAGGTTGGGAGATAGAAATGGAGATTACAACAATCGGAGAGAGGAAGATGAGTATATTCCTGAAATAATTCTAATTTTATTGTGGTTTAATATATTACATCGTCAAATACTAAAAGTGATATATATGAATTATGAATGAGTTTAGAAGCAAACAAAATAATCTGGGCCACCCACATATGTCAATCCTAATAATAAAATAAAACTAAAAGGAGATAAACCAAAAAAGATACATTAGTTGGCAATAGATGCGACGCCTAAACAAGAGTTACCTTATTTAATTTTAAGAATGGAACTTTTTCTAAAGTTGGTGGTGATGACCACAAAATTAACCTCAAATTTTGTACACACGTCATAAATGACACAACAAATCTATTCCAACTTCCGGAACCAAATACCTTGGTATTACAAATACCGTTTTGTTATATGCTATCTTTGACAAAAAAGAAGAAAGAAGGAATTAATTTTCATTTAATCATTAATTCATAAACGTCATATAGAAATTTATTAGGTGCGAATTACCGGCTAGGCAAGCCAAAACAAGATATCTAAAGCAACATAATAATAAAAATCATAGAAATAGCTTAAACCCGAGGTCTCAATACAATAAAAACTGCTAATACATTGTAAATCCCCCCAGAAACTGGTAAGTATGGAGTCATGAACTACTACAACGGAATACAAGTCTGAAATTGAATAATAAATACACTGTCTGAACTATAACAACAGTATGAAGGAAAAGACAAGTCAAACTGCGACCAAGGATGCAGCTCTACCTCACCTCTAGCAGATAGTCCACAAGCAACCTACTGCTGATAACTAGTCCCCACACCTAGATCTGCACAATTAACCCAATGTACTCAATAAGTATCGTAAATAAACACGGTGAGGTAAAAGAAGCACAAATTATTAATGATACTAGTTATCGCTTGTGTGGTTTTATCCTTTAAACCGGTACAGAACGATATTGAAATCAAATCACCAAGTTTAATAAGAAGGGCAGCCGTGTGGGTATGTATACAGTTTCTCAAATACTCTACCTAGACAATATCTTGGCATATAGAGGTGATATGCAGTTAATTCAGATAAATGATCAAGGAAATTGCAAGTAAAGAGAAAATGCAAAATCCAACAACACACTGGCCAGATTCCCTCACTTTTTCATATCCGTTCCAACCCACTGATCAGTATACACCATCAAGAGAGAAACATGAGAGGGTGACCTTGGGGGGATGGATCCATATCTACACGCAAGCACGGTCAATTCAATGTGCTGGCAGCCCGACGTGGTCACAGGGATAACAACACCATCCGCCCGGCGTGGTCACAGGCATACAACACAATCTACCTGGCATGGTCACAGGCATAACAGCATAAACCGTCCGGCGTGGTCACTGGCATAACAACACAATCCGTCCGGCGTAGTCACGGGCATAACAACACAATCTACCTAGCGTGATCACAAGCGCAACACAATCCACCCGGCGTGGTCATAGACATTCAGTCCAATCATATCACACAGGAGCAAATAAATAAGAATACATGTATTTGATGAATGAATAATCATGCTCTTGGACTGGTATAAATGACATGCTAAAGTGTAAGCATGTGCAAAGTGTGCTATCATAGCTCAAATTGGAAATTTTATCACGGAATAGCATTTATCAAGTTTATTCAGGGATTAAACCTCTATGTAGACTCAAACATGACTCAAATAGTTCACACAATATTATAAATATGAGAAACATCATACTTTAAAGCTTAACAATCAATTTTAGACTTATCATAGCCTAAACACAACCCGAACATGGATAAATACCCTCGGTGTCAGCACATGGGTTCAAACCCCATGCATGCGTGCACCCATAGCACGTAGCTATCACAGATAATTCAGGCAACTGGTGCCTCAAACAAGTTTAAATAAGATACTTACCTCAAACAAATTAAATCACTCCGCTAGCAAGCCCTCCCCACGCGTATCAATCTCTGAAAGGCTCGAATCTAACCAAAAATAACGTAATACTATCAATAAAAGCTATAGGAATTGATCCCAAATGATAAAACTAAGATCTTTAACCAAAGTCAAAAAGTCAACCCAAAAAGTCAACCTCGGGCCCACGACTCAAAAACCAGACAAAATTTATAAAATTCGAACACTCGTTCAATAACGAGTCCAATCATACCACAATCATCCAATTCCAACCACAAATCGACTCTCAACCCCTCAAATCTTACTCTCCAATACATGGGTCAAAATTCCCCAAATTCCAACTTAGATTCATGATAAATAGATGTAATAATCAATGGGTAATCAAAATACATGGATAAAAGTGATCAAAATTCACTTACCTTTTCAATCTAGATGAAAATCTCTCCAAAAATCGCCTAAGTCTGCACCCCAAAACTCTCAAACGGGAAGAAGATTCAAACCCTCGATTTTAAATCCCTGCCTAGCCTTTTCGCTCCTGCGGATTCACCTGCCGCACCTGCGGCTCTGCTTCTGCATAGGAAAGCCCGCTTCTGCGAAAATCACTTAAGCACCCGACCAGCCGCACCTGCGACCCAATTTTCACACCCGCGGGACCGCTTCTGCGGACCAGGCTACGCTCATGCGCGTCCGCACCTGCGGTTCCAATCCGCTTCTACGACCTTAGCCCCTCCTACCAAATTACTCATCTGCGGAGACCTCGTCGCATCTGCAGGCTCGCGGATGTGGAAGATCCAACGCACATGCGACCATTACCCAACACACACAGGACCCCCGCATCTGCGGCCTATTTCTCGCAGGTGCGGTTGCACCAGACCTGATCACACCAGCTCTTCCAAAATTCAATTCGATTTCAATCCGAATCACTCCCGAGACCTTGGGACCCATCCAAACATACTAACTCATCCTAAAACACAATACGAACTTAGTCGAAGCCTCAAATCCCATCAAACAACATCGAAAACACAAATCGCGACTCAATTCAAGCCTAATGAACTTTTGAATTTTCAACTTCTAAAATCGATGACGAAACCTATCAAACCAACTCCAATTGACCTCAGATTTTGTACACAAGTCATAAATGACACAACGGGCATATTCCGACTTCCGGAACCAAATGCCTTGGTATTACAAATATTGTTTTGCTATACACTATCTTTGACCAAAATGAAGAAAGAAGGAATTAATTTTCATTTTATCATTAATTCATAAACGTCATATCGAAATTTATTAGGTGCAAATTCTAACACAAACGGGTAGTTGCATAAAAAATATATGTGAAGTATCTCTTTTTTCTTATGAACAGTAATACCAAGAATTTTTAAACATGTGCAAATTTAACACCGCTGTTCAAAATATTTAGTACATGTGATTGCACAAACTCACCCCTAAAGAGTTACCCACAACGAAAAAAGAACCAAAAGAATGAAACTTTTTCTAAAGTTGGTGGTGATGATTTGAATTTTGAGAATCAAATGTGAAATATTAATGGGGTATATTTATTATTATTATTATTATTATAATTTCTTTTAAGGAGATGAAACAGAAGAAAAAAACTGCTCGCTGTGGTTGGTGAATAATCTCACTAACCATATTACCAGAAGGTCTAGAACCCCACACATATATGTTCTTTACAAAAGTAAAGTGTGTATCACGCGCTCTCAGGAAGCGCGTAGTTTACATGCAACTGTTTAACATTTCTGCATGTAATTTCTCATATCATTCCAAAAATAGAAAGACATAGAGATTATGTTTTTCCATAAATTGAAACACTTATCCTTAAATGGTGTTTGGCGTGATTTTTCTTTTCCGGAAACACTGAGAAAAGTTTTCATGTAAATTATATTTTCACCCTTTTTGAAACAAATGCGACCAAGTTTTTCAGCTTCTCAAAAACTAATAATTTTTCTTTCTTAATATTAAGTTGATTTTTTTTGTGAAATTGTTTTAAAAGTTTGGTTGAGACTCTTCTTCAAATTTTTGAAGCAAAATAAAACGAATGAAAATCTTGAAATTTTGTTCTTCAAGACTTCAAGTTAAATATTCCCTCAGTCTCAATTTATATGGCGGAATTCGGATTTCAAGAGTCAATTGAGTATTTCTTTTACCGTGATTTTTTTTATGTCTTTTATGTATTTTGAATTGTTAATTATTGTGATTTATAATATTTTTTACGTAGTTTCCAAATGCGTAAATTACATTTCATGAAACTTAAAGATTTTATATCCAAATTCACTATCAAAATAAGAAATTTGAGCTCCGCCACATAAATTGAGATGGAGGGAGTACTTTTTTTTTTTTGTCAAATAAAGTCTAGCTTTTCTCAGTTGCGGTGGTATGTATATGGATTGTATCTGGTCATTCCAACATGCCCATAGCATAAAGCTTTGATGTTATATATTTTTCATATTTCCTTGCTATTTAAAGAGTTCATATAGAAACCAGATAGGAGTATTGATGATATATGGATGGATGAAAATCTTAAACGAACAGACCTTTTAGTCTAGTACTTTAATTGACGTAATTGAATAGTAGCGGCTAAACAGGAGTATTTCAATTCTTATCCAAGTTTGAGTTAAACTTAATTAGTTTGAGGACTTGAGGTGATTACTTTCACTTAATAGTAGTTGTACTTGTACTACAAAGAAAAAACAGTTAATCATGAAAAACAAAGAGGAATAAAGAAAATTGTAATGTTGGACGCTGTCACGCTGATTTGGTGTGAATGGTAGTGAAGAATGTCTGTAAAAGTCCATGATATTTAATCTTTAGTAGAATCAAAAGCATAGATCACAAAGCTTTTTGGGTAGAGTGAAAGGGCAACAACCAATGCACTAAGCTCCCGCTATGTGCGGGATCCTGGAAAAGACCGGACCACAAGTATTTATTATACGCAGTCTTACCCTACATTTCTGCAAGAGGCTGTTTCCACGACTCAAAGCTCCTACTGCTATGGTGAAATAGTTGGAATTATCCACGTCCAAGGCTTTGAGCTGGAAATAAAAGAATCATTCAATAGAAGGCACTTTACCTCACTTAATAGGTCTACCTGACACAAATTTATATTTCGTACTGGAGATATGACTAAATCGCATATCTGCAGGCGAGCTCATTTACATGGAAAGTTTTCTTTTGACCTATCAAATAGCATGGGGTTGCACATCAAGGAATACAAGACGAACATGTATAAATCAGACATACAAGAGATAAAGAGGATACAACATCACCATTCAACGCAATGAAGATATTAGCTATTATTTGCATCTTGTTCCATTAATTTGTAGAGTGCAAAACCTCCTCTGTGGCAGCCGGGCATTTTAGAAGCCATGTTTTCCAAATCACTCTGACAAAAAAAAAATAAAAAAAAAAATATGAAATTAACAATTGCAAGTCTTAGATAAACTGTTTAAAGCAATATGAACCTTTCTTTTATGGATGAAGAAGCAAAACTACCCCTATAACTACTTTTAGCAACACATACTTGAACAACGGATCATTACCAAATATTATAATGTCTAACAGATTAAGGAGTAACAAATACAAGAAAGGAAAGAATTCAAAAAATAAAATAAAGTAGTCCAGCACACGAACAAAAGTCTTAAAATGTTCAAACTAAATCTTCACATGACAAGTACAAAACGCTAACTTTAGCTGCTAAATGGTCCCAGGTAGGACAGAAAGGAGATACCTCTAAGGTTGATTTTCTGCAATTTCAAGCTGAAAAGGATAGAGTATTATTTGGCTAAAAGGATCTCATCAACTTTAAGGGTTTCGGTGATACTTAAAATAAGAAGATGCCAGGAACAAGCATCACTGATTCTGTGAAGCTGTAAGGGAGAACCAGAGGATAGATGAGTTCACAATAGATGAACTCCCTTATTGCTCACAATAGAGGGGTCAACACATGAAATCCCATTCTTAGAAGGAACTTGCATGACTGGGAGGTAGATGGGTTCATTGACATGATGAAAACACTGGAGAAATGTTCAATCAACTCTCAGCTAAGGGACAAACTGAAATGGGGCAACTCTAAGGATGGACTTTACACTGTAAAGGCAGGGTATGCTAATCTTTGCTCTAACAATTTGATGATTGATCTTTGGCCCTGGAAGCTAGGTTGGAAAACAAAACTTCCACCTAAAGTGAGCTGCTTCAGCTGGTTGGCTCTAAAGGGTGCCTGCCTCACCCAAGACAACCTAATCAGAAGAAATTTCCAACTAGCAAACAGATGTTTCATGTGTCTCTCAAATTCAGAATCCATTAACCACCTTTTCCTGCACTGTCCAGTGGCCACAGACATCTGAAATTTGTTTCTCAACATTTTTGGATTGAAATGGACTATGCCATCATCTGTTAGAGAGGCCTGTGCAAGTTGGAGCTTAAGGAAAGTTGACAAGACCATCAGAAGCATATGGATTATGGTTCCTGCTAGCATTATTTGGTGTATCTGGACCGAGAGGAATCGTAGATGCTTTGATGGTGTATCAACTTCAATTGGCTACCCGAAGGCTAGATGTTTGGTTAACCTTTTTAGTTGGGCTAACCTCTCTCCTGTAAACAACTGTGACGTATTTTTGGACTTTGTCAGCTCTCTAGTTTTGTAGCACTTCAATTGTAAATGAGCTGATAAATTTTGCTTTGTAATCTTTTTGCATCTTCTTGATGCCTTTAATGACATCCTCCTTATTTCATCAAAAAAAAAAAGGGAGAACCAGAGGATAGTTTTGCAATTATCACTTTCTATTACTCTCAGGTACAGCAGCTAGTGCTATAGTTGCATCATCCAACTCATAATAAACAAAAGATTCTGAGAAAAATATAGACAGAACTCTAATTAATTTTAAAGAAGCATAATATGATTTATAGACTAGACTTTTCCTCATTCCAAAGATTCAGTACCAACTCAGAAATAAACTTCCTCGTACCATTAGTGTATTTCTAGGGGAATTAGAAATAGAAAATCCCAATAAAATTGGGATGAATCAGGCATTTTCAGAATGTTCTATGAACTACAGGAGTTCTGTACAGTTGCAAAGATCATGCTGATGCTAAAAATTTCCAGAAGGAATCTCAAAGATAACAGATAATCCAAAATTAAATATTAAATTCAGACTCCAAATTTAACTGACAAGCTTCAATTGCCTCCAATTTTAACTAATTCCTGTAACACTTACTTTCCTTGTTACAACAATTTCAGTTACATTATATTATTAGCATTGTGTGTTAGACCACAACCTCACGCTATAGATGGTCCTTTTCCCTCCACATGGGACTCCCGCTAGGCTAAGCTATAGATTCCACAGAGCTCAGCAAAAGTGGATCCATACAGCAGTTGAGCAAAAATTAATAGATAAGACAATTCAGTAGAACTACTTTGACAATTTGTAAAACTAACCATTGAAACAGCATAAAGCTGAGTTGACTCGAAGCCATCCTCTGCGCTAGAATACAATTGTTGAATTTCATCAGACTGAAGATTGCATTTGATGAAGAAAAAAGCAGTTGGCCTAACATTCAACACTCTTCGGGATATACCAATAAATATGGGGCTGGACTGATATAACATCAAAGATAAAGAATAAAGAACAAGAGTTAGGTGGCTTCTACAAATATGAATCCTAATATGATGCAATCTTACCAGAAAGGAAACAACAATCTGAGGGTGCATGTAAAAACAGCCCTCTCAAAAGTTGCAGACAGCCATATTCATAATTAGTCACCAGTCTCCAATTGATCAGCTTACAAATGCAACTTTATTTTATAACTGACAATCAATGTGTCCTACATTATGTATGCTACATTTGATTACTGTGGTACATTTAATAATCTTGGTAAATTATTTGATTACAGTTTTGAGGTAGATCTTAATGGTAGCTGACAAATGAAGTGAGAAAGAAGAACAATGTGTTACTCGAAATTCAGTCATATTTTCCTATTAGGGCAACAAAAGAAAAAAGAAGAAAAAAATACAAACAAACAAAAAAATCTAGGTACAGGTATTGTATACGACAAATCGACAACACAACAAGCATGATAATTCTCAAAATTCGGCGTGATTGTGCTATTTGGTATAACAACCCAGAATGAAAATCAGGTGGAGCCCTGATACAAGGTTGATTAGACATTATATTTATCCAGTCTGTGCTATCGCTTACCAAGGACCTTCTTCTCCTTCCAGATTACAAACTTGACCCATTTCACTTGTTTGCTACCCAAAATGTTAGAGCATACAGGAATTATATACTTACACAAGGCAATGCTAAGTGGAAAGTTTAGATAGGAGTTGACAAATTAAAGAGACCAGAAAAAAGTCACACACCAAGCCCCCCCCNTAAGAAAATATCTTTTTTAGATCTCTTATGTGTAAATGAAAAATCTCTTGTGTGTAAAAGTAAATCTCCCATGTGTAAAAAAAAGAGGTAGGGTCATAAAACTAAAAATAAGTTTGTAAAAGGCCAAAAAACCAATTGACCCGGAAGAGGTTTTAGGCCTTCTTGGCCTTTTACAATGTTGAATTTAAGAAAATGTCTTTTTTAGATCTTGGTAATAGACTTTGGGAATTGTATAGGAGAAATCTACTCCTGTAATTTTCCCTTTGTTTACAACAACTGGAGTTGTGCCTTCCTCCGGGGGTTTTGAAGAAGGTACAAAAGGAACTGTAGACTTTCTTCTAAAGAAACTGGTTCTACTTGATAGATTGGAACCTGAACCTAAAAATTTGAGATCTATAGATCCATCAGGAAATTGAATTACTTGTTCAATATGGGATCTCTCAAGATTGGAGGTGGAAGGTTGAGTTATGGCATCAAAGTGCCATTCATCAATTGAGAGTATATCATTCCAGTTAAGAAGTCTAGGTACAAAGACTGTACTATGCTCAGTGTTTGCTTCCATAAGCATGGTGACTCCTTTGACACTTTCAACTCGAGCTTTAGGTACCAGAGTAGTGTCCATAAGTCTATAGTAGACTAGATGGATGATAGCTATCTCACGAGTGTTAACTTTGCTATTCATATTCTTGGTTTTGACATTTAAAGTCAGAGTATCTATGACGTTGGTCATTGATATCAACCGAGAAGTTAGGGTAGCAATTGAAGTATACCGGGCCATTGGCGAGGTTACTTTGAAGGACCCCTAAGAGAGAGTCGTCGACGTTCAATAGACAAGCATCTCTTAAAAGGACGCACATGGGTACGTCTAAACCTTTTCTAAAGAGAGGTTTGACAGCAATTTGAACAAGACCTATATGCAAATAATTGAATTGATGCTTGTATTTGTTCAAATTTTGTTCAGAAAGCAATTTAATAATTTCGAAAGAATTATTGATAGCAATAGTGGACTCACAGGTTTTAATATTATGCTTCTTAATAAAGCTGAAATTTCCTATTTCATAAATCTTTTTGAAAGGTTCGTTGGAAATATTCCAATTTTGTAAATCATTTTCAAGCTTAGCAATCTTAGTTGCTTGAGAGGATAAATTAACGTTATTCAAAACATGCTGGTTTGAATTCATTTTGAGAAGAATACAGTCTAGGGGCTTATAAGGCTAAAATAACTATTCAATACTTGTAATAGTAAAACAGTAAATATGCAAATATCTAACGGACATTGTACCTCAACATCATAGATCTAATAGCTTCTTAGTAAAGTCTTCTTGGATTTACATCTGTTTTCTCTAAAGTCATCTTAGCGACGGGATCACCTAACAAGGTCTAAACGCCTACAGCGACCTATCACTTTAAGGCTAGCCAACGTCTGAACCGGATATTAATCGGTTACCTCATACTTATAGAGAAAATAAAAACCTCATACTAAACATAGAAGCATTTGTAGAACATGATTTTGAAAAACAGTAGTAAGATAGATGTAAACATAGTTAAGTTTTTAAAAATACAGCATAGAAAGTAATTTTGCCATGCCCTAGACAGTATATGTACTTAGCTGCTCATGTTAAATACGTATACTGCCAACATGGCTCTGATACCAATTGGGACGGAACGAAGTGCAGTATATAAACAGTAAAGACAGTATAAGAGAAGCCCTTAAAAAACTTAAAAGATTTTATTGAACGAACATTAAAACATAAGGAAAGCAGAAATATTTAGAGAATGCTACTAAGGGAGAGAGGTCTTTGAAATTTGGGAAAATTTATGATGCCTCTAACAATGGGAATGGGGGGTTTTATATAGACTAGAGAAGATGCCCTTTTGATCTTAGGCTTACAAGTGTACCGCTTAAATTCGTTAGACAAAATTTAGTGGTAGACAAAGAATAAAGTGGGTGATTTACTTTTGAAAAAGTAAAGTGGTTGTTTTTGATAAAGTAAAAAAATAAGATTCTTTCTGTTTTGTCCGTCTTGATGATGGATTTCTTTATTCGAAGTTGGGGTCCATGTAGGCCAAAACTATTCCTTTTGGGTTGCACATGTCTCCGTTACTGCTTTCGCCTGATGAAGCAGCATCTTCTATTAGCTGCATGATTTGATGTTCTTCGTAATTGTCAATATTCTTCAAGGCTTGCTTGAGTTTCTCTTTGAGCGTTGCTTTGGAAGATGAAGCTTTTGTAAAGCTTTGTTGAGTATTTTTTGTTGCTTTGAGGATTTGCTGTTTGGGAGTCCAGTCTTTGATCTTGATTTCTTTAGACAGATATTTAATCCTTTCAAATTCTGCTTTAGAAAAGTTCCAACTAATAATGAAGGAAATTCTTTTTTGAATAAAGTACTTGCACATTTTAATGTGCTCTGGTAAGGAAGATGTTGCCTTTTTGGTCTGAAAGTCATCAAACCTGTTAAGGAATTGTTGGGGAAGAATCTCTTTGTTTCCTCCGAAAATGTTCCACCATTCGTAGAACCATCTGAGATTATTGCCTTAGTGACTTCTAGACTATACTTAACAAACCAAGTATGTCCTGGCCTAAGGTATAGAAAGTTGAACCAGGCAGCCTCGTAGTCATGCCAGTTGTATGTTTGGGGTCGGTGCATCATAGATAGTGCTATAGGTGTGTGCAAGTGATCAGCAAACCATTCAAATGGTGATAATATTTTCTTAATGGTATCTCTAGAGTAGTTGATGTACTCTGGACTTTTGTCGTTTAAAGTATGTTCTACTTCTATAGAATCAGTGTCAATGAGAATGGCTTCATAGAAACTTCTTGTTTTATATGGATTTTCTGTATCCACGTAGTTAAAGTCTGTAAAACAAGGTTTAATAAGGTCTTCAATTCTGAGACCTTCATACTCCTTGTCAAGTGCTAGTAAAGGTAATACCTGGATGGTAACATATTCAAATTTCTCTTCTTTAGGAATATCTTCTTGTACCTTCTTAGCCGAAGGGTTAACTGTTTCTGCAAAAGTCTCAGGGACTTTCATAGCGTAACTTTCTTTGGTTTGAATTGAGGAATTAGAAGTTGTTCCTCTTTCAAAAGGTTTTGTTGGTTGGAGATTGGTCAGTTTCGCTGATGGAACTGGTATTGGGGCTGGTAGCTTAGGATACTCAGCTAGGGCTGTATACCTGTTTTGGAAAGGAAGTTGGGGCCTTTGAGGGGCTGTTGTTTTGTTGAGAGTAATAGGAGGAAGAACAAATGGTCTAGCCATTTGTGGATTATTGATCTTTTTCCCTTTGGAAGGGGTGTTAGGCTTGAAGGGCCTCATTTTTTCCCTGTAAAAATTCTCTTGTTAGAAAATCAGGTAAAGAGTTATTTTCTCCTTTAATAAAATCTATTTTGAAATCGAAGCTAGATAGTAGAGCTTGCCACCTAAAGTTTTTGACATCCTTTTGAAGAATCTCTTTAGTAGATTTACAATCAACTCTAACTAAAAATTCTTTGTTAATAAGATCGTCTTGAAATTTTGTAATACATAGTACTATAGACAAGATTTCCTTTTTAACAGTAAAATAGTTTTTCTGAGCGGAATTCTAAATTCCAGATGTAAAACGGACAAGTTGTTCTTGGGCTTCTATGGATATCCTCTGCTTAAGGATTCCACCATAACCTATATCTGAAGCATCTGTTTCTACAATCATAAATGCTTCTGGATTCGGGATTCCTAAGCATGGAAGATTTTGTACTAACCCTTTTATTTGGATAATTGATCTTGTTTGTTCAGAGCTCCAAGGAATTGGGTTTTTCCCAAGTCTTTTATATAAAGAAGGTTCACAGACCTGTCTAATGTTTGGGATAAAGTCAGCTACATAGTTGAGACTTCCTAGAAATCTTTGAAGTTGAGTTTTATCGGTGATCTCATTAGGAAATTTAGAAGAGAACTCTATGGCTCTGCAAATTAGCTTGTAAGAACCTTGGTCTAGTAGTCAGTGCTAAGAAGATCAAAACTCTTTCAGACCGCCATTAGATTCTTAGGCCATGAAGCAGAAGAGCCAACTTAAGAAAGAACGATTCTCTTCTAGAAAAGAACTAGGAAGTTTCTGTCAAGACTTCAGTTACACAAACATTGTTGTCCCCTCTACTCACTCTTCAAAAAGAGACAACCTCTAAATCTTCTAGAAAGATTCACCGTAGCAAATCTCGCAGAATTTTCGAAAATTCACCTAGAAAGAAATCCAGATACCGTAGACCTTCCAAGTTTTCTAA